ATGCTAGTAACTTGTTAATCATGCTAGTAACATGCTAATCGTGTTAAAAACATGCTATCCAAATGCTAGTAACTTGTTAATCATGCTAGTAACATGCTAATCGTGTTAAAAACATGCTATCCAAATGCCAGTCACTTGTTAATCATGCTAGTGACATGCCAGTCACTTGCTAATCATGTTAGAAACATGTAGGCGATATGTTAGTAACTTGTTAATCATGCTAGCAACACGCTAGTAGCATGCTAATCATGCTAGAAACATGTAGGCGATATGCTAATAACTTGTTAATCATGCTAGCAACATGCTAGTAGCATGCTAATCATGCTAGTAACAAGCTAATCGTGTTAAAAAAATGCTAACCAAATGCTAGCAACTTGCTAATAATGCTAGCGACATGCTAGCCACTTGCTAATCATGCTAGAAACATGTAGGTTATATGCTAGTAACTTGTTAATCAATCTAGCAACATGCTAGTAACATGCTAATAGTGTTAAAAACATGCTAACCAAATGCTAGGAACTTGCTAATAATGCTAGTGACATGCTAGTCACTTGCTAATCATACTAGCAACATGATATTAGCATGCTAGAAACATGCTAGTAGCATGCTAATCATGTTAGAAACATACTAGCGACATGCTAGTTACTTGTTAATCATGCTAGCGACATGCTAGTCACTTGGTAATTCAATTCAAGTTTATTTGTATAGCGCTTTTCACGATACAAATCGTTGCAAAGCAACTTTACAGCAAATTAAGTTTCTACAATATTTAGTGGTAGCTTATCAGTGGTGACTGTCAGTCAATGTACATATGGCAGAAATGTACGGAAAAATCAATTAAAGACGTAATCAAACAATAATCATTCTAGCAACATGCTAATCATGCTAGAAACATGTCATCATCATCTATCTAATCTATCTAAATTTTCAAACTTCAAGCTTTTACAACTGCTTTAAACTGTCAGGCTTTCTCAAGCTAACCTAAAGTTTGTCTTGACGAACTTTATCTAGTTATTTAATCGATGGTACACCATTCAACATTTGAAGTGGATCAAAACCTTTCATCAAAGTTGTCCTAAAACCTGAAACCAAAATGCGTTCTTGCCTTAGATCCACTTCAAATGTTTTACAGTCCGTGCACAACTTCAAAGGCATTTCTTAAATCGACGACGAAGAAGAAACGATTAATAAAAGCATTTGGGTCTTCAAATGCAATTTTAAAAATGTATTGTTTTACTATGTATTAATTTGCTATATAGTTGTGGTTTTGTTTAATTACGTTGTAAAACCTGAATTATATAAACCGTTTTACACATGTCTTAATTTGTTCGTTTAAAGAGTGATTTATTTCCTTTTTTCTTGCTGGAAGTAAACTGATAACTGATTCCTTCGTGCGCTGTGCAGTAATATCTTGATTATGTTCTCAGGTAAGTGGCTGGCCTGTCAGTCCATGGACAATCAGATCCTGATCTTCGGAGCGCAGAACAGATTCCGGCTCAACAAGAAGAAGATCTTCAAGGGTCACATGGTGGCGGGATACGCCTGTCAGGTGGACTTCTCTCCGGACATGAGGTGAGTCTCCTCAAACCTGACGTTTCTGTTCATCTGCCGTCACTAACTGCTGCGATTAGAGCTTAAAACATGCTAAATGCTCCCGAATCGGGACGGGTTTGAGACTGTAAATATTAGTATTAAAATTAAGCAACATTGGGAATATTATGATTTTAGTGCTTTTATTTGAGCGTTAAGTCTTAAAGACCGCAGCAAGATGCCAGATTCATGAGTATAAGAGCACTAGTTAGTTTAAAATGCTAATAATTTCATTTTCATTAAACGCTCCAGGTTTGCAGACTTGGCAATTTTGGGGAAAAAAGTGCTTTATTTATCAATATAAAAAGAGCACCGTAATAATAGCTCTGGTTATTATTATTACTAGGAAGTAAAAATATTGATATTATTTATTTATAACAAAAGTCGCAATTATATTTCACTAAAATAAAAAATTGAGCATTGAAGGAAAATAATTATTGTTAATTATATAATTATTATAAGTTGCAATACTAATGTTTATGACTTGTTTTGGTGGAGCAGCATATATTTAATCATTATAAGTACATTTTAATATATATATTTAATATTTTAATAGTTTGGTAATCACATTATGATTTGTGTTGGTTTGATAAATATGAAAATAAAATAATGTTATGATTTTATTATGATTATTGTTGCTAAATAAAATGATAAATATTATTTGTTTAAAACAAAATAAGAAATATTGGGGATAAACAATTGGAAAAATGGTATAATTATTCTTTTGTTTTACAGTACAACTGTAAAATTGCAGTATTAATATTAATGTCCGTCTTTATTTTCCAACATTAAATCATCAAGCTTTTATTTTGGTGGAAAATGTTATTTTTGGGAAGCAATGTTATATATTTAATTAAATCTCAGCCTTTGAGATATGATCATTTTGGTTTTTATTTTGATTAATCGTGAAGCCCAAGACAATGAATATGTACATTGTTCATAAATATGTATTTTTATATTGATAGTTTTATTCTCACTTGTTCATTTAGTGTAAATCATTGTGGAAAATATGCTTTGATGATTTCAACTATATTTTTAATGTATTTACTTAGATTTATTTGACTAGAATGATGTTTTGATTGAAATAATGATTCCTCTGATTAAAAATAAAACAAAACACCATAATAACCTTTTTGAAACATTTCAGACCAATGCATAAAAATGGACGTATATTTTGAATCATTAAAAACCTGAAAAAAAATTATAATATTTTGTCATTTATTTTTATATATATATAAAATTATATATAGGTTGCATATTATATATTATATCATCTGTAGCTGTATTTTCTGTCACAGTGCATGTTCTCCTGGTTATTAATAGTTGCTTTGCATTAAAACGAGCTTTATTTGGTGGTGTTTTGACCTGGTTCTCTCGCTGTGCGCTGCAGTTACGTGGTCTCCGGAGACGCTGACGGGAAGCTGAATATCTGGGACTGGAAGACGACGAAGCTCTATCATCGGATCAAGGCGCATGACAAGGTGTGCATCAGCGCGCTCTGGCATCCTCACGAGACGTCGAAGGTGATCACCTGCGGCTGGGACGGACAGATCAAGCTCTGGGACTGACCTGAACCTCAGCTTTTAACACTGATGTGAGAGGATTATTATTATTACAGGGCTGGTATCCAGTTATAAACACACACACACACAACAGAGACTTCAGCGCATGCGTTTTGTGTTATGATGAATGAACCTGTATCTCCAGTGTCTCGCATTTCTGTCTTTTTGCGGATAATAAATGTCTCTTGTTTATTTCTGCGGCCGGTGAAATCTTCCCATTCTTTTTCAACATAGACGTTGAATTACAACAAAGCATTTGATTAGAGGCATAAAAAAAGATACTTTAATGAGGGAATAAACTCCTCAAGACGTTAGTGTAAAATACCGCATTTTAATTCTCAATATACAGTGGGGCAAAAAAGTATTTAGTCAGCCACCAATTGTGCAAGTTCTCCCACTTAAAAAGATGAGAGAGGCCTGTAATTTTCATCATAGGTATACCTCAACTATGAGAGACAAAATGAGAAAAAAAAATCCAGAAAAGAGGCATAAAAAAATATACTTTAATGAGGGAATAAACTCCTCAAGACGTTAGTGTAAAATACCGCATTTTAATTCTCAATATATATGCATATGATTTTTTTTTTTTCATATTCATTACAGTAGTATGACAATTGTAATATTTATTTTATTTAATTGTAATAATTTAAATACTATTATTCTAAATAATAATGATTATTATTATTTTATTTTTTTTATTCATTAAAATTGTATAATTTGAGAAATTATTCTGAATGATATTTTTTACTTTACAATAGTGTAATGGCAGTTGTAATATTTATTTAATTTTATTTTATTCTTACTAATAAAAATAATTATTTCTTCATTTAAATGTATAATTTAGGTACAATTATTCTGAATAATTCTAATAATAAATATTATTAATAATAATATTTTGTTATTAAATTCAATTTTACAGTACAATAGAATTATTGCAAGTTAAATCTATTGATTGATTTAATTTTTATAATTTAAATATTCTGCACTTTTCAACAATGTTAGTGCAATAGTAATATTTATATATTGATTTAAGTTTTATAATATGAATATTATTCAGAATATTTGAATTTTCAGTTAATGCTGAATATGTATGTATTTGATTGTTGAGCTCCTGATTCGATGGTAAGAGCTACTTTGGATTGGAAGCCGTATTTTGCCTCGGCATTATGGGTAATTTACTTATTCACTGGGAATTTTGTTGATAAACACACTTATTATTCATTTATTTTATGGGAAAAGCACACCTGCTGTTTCTACAGAAGCAAATATCATAACTGCACAACAGTGGGTTTATTACACAAAACATTTCACTCATCCCTTCACGAAGAATTCAATCCCAGAATGCACTTCAGCAATCTCAGTAAAAATTCTCCTCCAACAGTCAAGGAACGAGATAAATATGTTTTATACACATTGTATTTGCACACAATGTTGCGTATATATTCATAAAGTGGCCTGAATTTATCTGAATTCAACCCATTTTTATCAAGCAACATATTTAAAAAAAAAAAAATACCATAAATATATTCTATATTGAACTGAAAACATGTAGCAAAATAGTCCTTTTGTACAAAATGTGTGAATTCCCAGCCCAGTGTGAAGGAGCTGCTGGTGTTGCGGAGGTTTCTGTGCAGGAAGAGGCGTGGCTTGCTCGGGTCGCTGTAGCTGTGGTAGAGGCGGAAGTGAGCGCGCTCCAGCTCCCTCAGCAGACTGAACCAATAGCGGACCACCGAGGGCTCGTCCCCGCCCACCTCAAACCCTGCCCACTGCAGGTGCAGCTCCAGCAGCAGCAGACCGACCGAGTCCAGCACCTGCTCCAGGATCAGGTTCTCCAGGATCTTCCACTCCGCGCTTTCCAGATCCACCTTCAGCACATCCACCTGAGAGGAACACCATCATCATCATCATTACTGACACAAACCTGACTCCTCCCATTACTACACCTGGTACACTGAGGTTAGTACTGCTTTTGCAGGGATGTAACAAATGCACTGGTGTCAAAAGTATTCACATTCATTACTCAGGTAGAAGTATAGATACTAGGGTTTAAAAAGACTTCTGTAGAAGTTGAAGTATCAACTCAAGCTTTTTACTCAAGTAAAAGTGCAAAAGTACTGGTTTCAAAACTACTTAAAGTATAAAAGTAAAAGTAATGTAAGGAAAAAAATGCCATTAAGGACAAAAGCTTAGGCCGCGCCACAGGGGCCTATTGTGCACTACCCCACCTCCTCAAAAAAACATTTTTCTAAAGGCCATAATGACTATGTTATATTAAAATGTTAATGTTGAAAAATGTGGGATGCACTAGGCTACCTGTTTCAGCCGCATATATGCCCATTGAAAATGAACGCATTTGAGTACAAAGCAAATACATTAAAGAACCATATATGTGTACTACTGAGCATTAAAATGTGTTTCATGGAGCGGAAGATATGATGACTAGTTGCTTATAAGTATTGTAATGGTGCAAAAAGTTCCAGAGGCATGTCATCAATAACCTTTATTAGAATGTAAATGTACATCCAAGCTTAGCTGCAGGAATCTGTGAGGGCAACGGACAAGAAAACTGGTGTACCCAGGGCAGGCTTGAACGATGACAAGCCGGAATGAAATAGGAGTAACGAGGGTATTTTTAAAATGTAAGGAGTAGAAGTAAAAAGTCAGCTGAAAAATAATTACTCCAATAAAGTATAGATACCCAAAATTTCTACTTAAGTAAGGTAACGAAGTATTTGTACTTCGTTACTTGACACCTCTGAACAAATGTGAGCCTGGAGCACAACAGCAGTGTTGAGTCTCTGGGGTATATTTGTAGCAATAGCCAACAATACATTGTATGAGTCACAATTATCAATATTTGTTTTATGCCAAAAATCATTAGGATATTAAGTAAAGATCATGTTCCATGAAGATATTTTGTAAGTTTCCTACCGTAAATATATCAAAACTTAATGTTTGATTAGTAATATGCATTGCTAAGAACTTCATTTGAACAACTTTAAAGCTGATTTTCTCAATATTTAGATTTTTTTGCACCCTCAGATTCCAGATTTTCAAATATTGTCCGATCCTAACAAACCATACATCAATGGAGAGCTCATTTATTCAGCTTTTAGATGATGCATACATCTCAATTTCAGAAAAATTGACCCTTATGACTGGTTTTGTGCTCCAGGGTCATATTTATACCGATTTCAATATTTTCCAACCCAAATTATGATTTGCATAAATTGTGTAAATCCAAAGGGGGAAAAAAAATCACATTTCTTATGAGGATCATTTAGAAAGAAGCTCAGTTTTCTTTTTCCTAACAAACCATACATCAATGGAAAGCTCATTTATTCAGATTTCAGCTGATGCATACATCTCAATTTCAGAAAAATTGACCCTTATGATTGGTTTTGTGCTCCAGGGTCATATTTATACCGATTTCAATATTTTCCAACCCAAATTATGATTTGCATAAATTGTGTAAATCCAAAGGGGGAAAAAAAATCACATTTCTTATGAGGATCATTTAGAAAGAAGCTCAGTTTTCTTTTTTTCCCCTCACAACCCATTTTATTTTTGTAGTCTGACATGCTTCTTTTTTATTATTTATTTATTTATCAGTTTACAATATAACAACAATCAAAACAATAAAAAAAGAAATCTGCATGTCTTCAAATATGAAAACATACATCATCAAATCCAATTTGTGTTAAATTAAAACTGAAATCATATGATAGCACATGAATGGTCTGTGTGATAACAATGGATATTAAATGATTTAGGCATGAGTCAAAGAAGCTCGGGTTTCAAGCAAAACATTGGAAAGCAAATGTTAGTAGGCTACTGTAATTTTACTGTTTTTCTGTAACATTATTAATTATTAGATGCAGATTTTTTTACTTTACATTACAATAATCTTATTGCACTGGTATTATTTCTTTATTAATTTAATTTGTATAACTTAATTAAAAATATTATTCTGAATAATATGAATTATTATTAATAATAAATTAAAATTTTACAGTACAGCAGAATTATTGCAATAGTAGTATTCATTAACTCTTATAATTTAATTAAAAATATTGTTCTGAACAATAATAATAATAATGATTATTTTCTAACTACAGTACAATAATGTTATTGCAAAAGTAATTTCTTTATTCATCAAATGTTTATAATTTAAATAAAATGTTTATTCTTAATAATAATAATATATTTTTAATTTTTGCTATACAGTACAGTAGTATTATTGCAATGGTATTCTTTATTTATTGGTTGGTTTATATTTTATAATTATATAAATATACAATATAATAAAAATTGTTCTTAATAATAATAATAATTATTATTGTTGTTGTTATAATCATTACATGCTCCTTTTTTGCTTTACAGTAAAATTGTGTTATTGCTGGAGTAATACTTCTCTCTTCATTTATTTTTTATCATTTAAATAAAATGTTATTTTGAATAATAATAATAAAAAAAATTTTTTACTTTACAGTAGAACAGTTTTATTGCAATACTAATATTTATTTATTGGTTTAATAAGGTTTCTGGAGATGATCAGCGAGCAAACCGTACATTACGAACATAGACATTAAAAATAATAAATAATAATAGGAAAAATTTAAATAATAAAATGGCAAAACAAAATTAACTCAAATTAAAATGAAAAAAAATAAAATAAGAACTAATTCAAGATATTAATAAAAAACTATAATAGTATCACAATGATACTATATAATTATTAAAAGTATTTTTAATGAATTGGGGTACAGCTGCAATAAAATATTAATATTAGATTAAAAACTTTTTTTTAAAAAACTGAATAAGTTTACTTTGAAGTACTGAAATTACAAAAACTGAAATATAAATAAATTAAAGATACATTTTTAAATAGATAAATAAAAAAAACGAATAAAGATGACAAAGCAAACAAAAAAAATATTAAAATTAAAACAAATATGAGCAATATATTTCAAAACAATTATGAAATATAATACAAGTATATATATAAACATTTCCAATATATTCTGAAAATTAATAACACCTAATTCAAAATATTAATAGAAACAATAATAGAATCACAGTGATACTATAAAACTATCAAATCATGTTCGTAAATTGAAATACAGATGAAATCAAATCTAAATATTAGATGAAAAGCTTATTTTAAACAAGTACTAAAATGACTAAAACTATAAATTTATTAAATCTAAATATAAAAAACTAAACTAATACAATGACAAAAGCACATATTCAAATTACTACAACTTTAAAATAAAAAATGAAAACTTATACTGAAATAAAATCTTATCCTTAATATTAATAAATACTATAATAGTATATAAATAATACTAAAATAATTTATCAGTGATAAATGCAGCTTTAATTTCGGTCTGTTTCTCAAAGCATCATAAGACATGGAACATACTGCAGGAGGCGTATGGATGACTGTTATGATACTTTTATGATATTTTATGGACTTTGGTGTTGTTGTATGGAAAGGATTCTTCAGTCTGTGCTTGAAGAATCCCTCCAGAAATATTGTGCAGCACGACTGTTTTCAACATTGATAATAATCAGAAATGTTTCTCGAGCAGCAGATCAGCATATTATACTGATTTCTGAAGATCATGTGACACTGAAGACTGGAGTAATGATGCTGAAAATACAGCTGCACATCACAGACTTAATAATAATAATATATTTTTAATTTTTGCTATACAGTACAGTAGTATTATTGCAATGGTATTCTTTATTTATTGGTTGGTTTATATTTTATAATTATATAAATATACAATATAATAAAAATTGTTCTTAATAATAATAATAATAATTATTGTTGTTGTTATAATCATTACATGCTCCTTTTTTGCTTTACAGTAAAATTGTGTTATTGCTGGAGTAATACTTCTCTCTTCATTTATTTTTTATCATTTAAATAAAATGTTATTTTGAATAATAATAATAAAACAATTTTTTTACTTTACAGTAGAACAGTTTTATTGCAATACTAATATTTATTTATTGGTTTAATAAGGTTTCTGGAGATGATCAGCGAGCAAACCGTACATTACGAACATAGACATTAAAAATAATAAATAATAATAGGAAAAATTTAAATAATAAAAATGGCAAAACAAAATTAACTCAAATTAAAATGAAAAAAAATAAAATAAGAACTAATTCAAGATATTAATAAAAAACTATAATAGTATCACAATGATACTATATAATTATTAAAAGTATTTTTAATGAATTGGGGTACAGCTGCAATAAAATATTAATATTAGATTAAAAACTTTTTTTTAAAAAACTGAATAAGTTTACTTTGAAGTACTGAAATTACAAAAACTGAAATATAAATAAATTAAAGATACATTTTTAAATAGATAAATAAAAAAAACTAATAAAGATGACAAAGCAAACAAAAAAAATATTAAAATTAAAACAAATATGAGCAATATATTTCAAAACAATTATGAAATATAATACAAGTATATATATAAACATTTCCAATATATTCTGAAAATTAATAACACCTAATTCAAAATATTAATAGAAACAATAATAGAATCACAGTGATACTATAAAACTATCAAATCATGTTCGTAAATTGAAATACAGATGAAATCAAATCTAAATATTAGATGAAAAGCTTATTTTAAACAAGTACTAAAATGACTAAAACTATAAATTTATTAAATCTAAATATAAAAAACTAAACTAATACAATGACAAAAGCACATATTCAAATTACTACAACTTTAAAATAAAAAATGAAAACTTATACTGAAATAAAATCTTATCCTTAATATTAATAAATACTATAATAGTATATAAATAATACTAAAATAATTTATCAGTGATAAATGCAGCTTTAATTTCGGTCTGTTTCTCAAAGCATCATAAGACATGGAACATACTGCAGGAGGCGTATGGATGACTGTTATGATACTTTTATGATATTTTATGGACTTTGGTGTTGTTGTATGGAAAGGATTCTTCAGTCTGTGCTTGAAGAATCCCTCCAGAAATATTGTGCAGCACGACTGTTTTCAACATTGATAATAATCAGAAATGTTTCTCGAGCAGCAGATCAGCATATTATACTGATTTCTGAAGATCATGTGACACTGAAGACTGGAGTAATGATGCTGAAAATACAGCTGCACATCACAGAAATACTGTACAGTTTAATATATATTCAAATAGAAAATGGTTATATTAAATTGCAATAATATTTCACAATTTTACTAAATTGGTTGTATATTAAATCAGAAGAGAATTCTTCAAAAACATTTAAAAATCGTAATAAATCTTAAAATGTTTTACCGCTTATATATATATATATATATATATATATATATACACACACACCAATGAGCCATTACATAATGACCTCCTATCTAATAACCTATACAGATAGAGAGACAGATAGTTAGATAGATAGAGAGAGAGAGATCCTCCTTTGGCTCCTTCAGTTCATCCATATGCAGGAATCATAAATCTAAAAATATCCGCTGCCATATTTATGAGCAGATAATGAATTCATTAGTGTCTATCTTTGTGTTCCCTCCAACATTTTATTGTGTTTCAGAAGTGTTTCCCAGCAGTCTTTGAGCTCAGAGACGCTCTTCTGTCACACTGAGAGAGTCGATGTGAAGCCTGCGGTGTGTTTGCAGTAAATTATGTGTCTCACACTCATACACACTCTCTC